GCATGTGGAATCTTAAAAAAACCAAATTCAAAAAAAACAGAGTAGTTTGGTGGAGAGTACGGGGTGCAGCAAGGATGAGTGAAAGTGATCAAATAGGACAAACTTCCAGTTATAAGATGAGTAAGTTCTGGGGATGTAATACAGCATGGTGGCTATAGTTAACAATACTGTATTGTATATGTGAGAGCTGCTGAGAGCAGATCTTAAAACTTCCCAACACACAAATTATAACTATGTGGAGTGAGAGGTGTGTTAACTAACCCTACTGTGCTTAATCATTTCACAGTATATACATTTATCAAATCAACACGTTGTATACCTTACTTAAACTTACACAATGTTATATGTCAACTGTATCTCAAAAAAGCTGGGAGAACAATGCTGATGCCTGGGTCAGATCCAGAGATTCTGATTTAATTGGTCTGCAGTGGGGTCTGGGCATCGTAAGTTTTAAATGCTCCCAACCCCCAACAAGTGATTCTAACATATAACCAGACTGAAAACTGCACAGATATTACCTGCTTTGTTTGCATTTACTAATCACTTTTCAGGCAGTCTTCAACTGATTACTCAGTCTCGGTGTCTTGTTATCAATGTATTTAGTGAGTCTCCTAAATAGCTACCAAAATACAATCAGATTACAGAGGCTTAAACTGGGGACATGGGGCTTTTAGTCACTTCATATTCAATACAGGAAAAAGGTCATGGAATTCCTAACATGGGTTTGGGGGTCTTATCTTCTACCATGAGTTGCTACTGCTTAAATTAATAATAATATTTTTCAAGTAATTCAATCCCCAGTAGGTTAAGAATTCTCACAAATCAATTTAAAAAAAAAAGTGTAGCAAGAGGAAAATGTGCAAAGAACATGAATAGACTGTTTACCAAAAGAATACAAATGGCCAATATGATTTTTCAACTTCATTAGTAATCAAAGAAATGCAAATTAAAGATACAGTTCATCCATCAAACCAGCAACATTTTTATAAACACTCAATAGAAAGAATATAATGCAACAAATACTCAAGCTCCTGGATGGAATAAACTTAATAAAGTATTAAAAAGTAGTTTGGCAGTATGTGTCAAGAGCCTTCAAGTGTTCATACCCTTCCTCATAATAGCAAAAACTAAAAACAGCCCAAAGGGCCAGGAGTAGGGAAGTTATTTTATAGTTAGCTAAATTATTCAAAATCCATACATGGTTTTAGGGAGACTATTGTGTTTTGGTTAAAGGCTCAAAATGCATTGTTAGAGGGAGAGAAAGAAGTATACATAGTATGATCAATTTTGTTACATATTATGGAAGGCAATATACTTAAATGTTAACAAAAGCAGGATTTTAATCTTATACATCACATTTTTCTATTTTCAAAATTTCCTACAAAGGATTTACTAAAGAAATTTTTTTCATTTCCAAGTAAGAGTTAATTGATCAAACGTAATAAGTCTCTACCTCAGAAAAACTGTAACGTAAAATGATAGCTTATCATGAGGAATTTCACTGTATAATTGTGTGTGGTGAGTAGTGAGTGCTGAGATCCTAGCTTCAGTAGGACTGAGCTGTGCCTGGCCACATGGATTGAGGATTCAGATGATCTTAAACAGGTGTCCTCAACAGCCTCCCTGACATTCTCCAACAAAGACCGATTAGATTTTCTAAAATGCAAAACAGCCAAGACAACTGACCTTTACCTACCAAGGTGGATACTATTTTTGGAACCTCAGTCTGAGTGGGCACTTGCATGGTGGACTATTAAACCACACAAAAGCAGGTAATTATAGCCAAGACAAGATGAAGCTACCCTGAGGTTTATTCTATACTAAATATTTATGAAAAACAATGGTCACTGGAAGAACTCTTCCCTGCTACCCACCTACAATGATGCATGTAAGCTGGTCTGTTCAGAGAATTTTTTAATTGAAGTCTGATGTCACAGACTTATTCACACTCACTAAAATCAAAATTCCCTGCAGGGAATTCCCTGGCAGTCCAATTGTTAAGGCTCTGAGTTTTCACTGCTGAGGGCTCAGGTTCAATCCCTGGTCGGGGAACCAAGATCCCACAAGCTGTGTGTCACAGCCAAAAAAAAAAAAAAAAAAAAATCCCTGCAAGAGCAGACTTTACAGCTCTAATCTCAAAGTGATTTTACAGAAAAACTGACCCCCCCAACCCCCAAAGAAATAATGCTCTAATACTAAAGTTCAAAGATTAATAATACAAAAATATCATCTATAAATGAGACACTCAATAAAAGCCTTGAATACTCAAGACTACCACATAGTATTTTCACATTAATATGCACTACAAAATACTCTATTTTTGCTCATCTCTAAGTCCCCCAAATGAAAGAAGTGCCAGAATTATCTTGATACGATACCTCCAGATTCTTAAAAGAGCAATATAGTTTCAAAAACTTCAAGGAAAGAATGATCTAGTGTGGATACTAAGCTGCCTGTCAGTTAACTGTTAACTAAAGCAACAACAACAAAACCACTTCATAAACATCTACTGTCCAAATATCAAACTCAATTATTAAGCATCACCATGCACTATATAAGTCTACAGCATTAATTATTTCCACTCTTTAAAAGAAAATGCATTAATTGTTCAACTGTTTGGCATAAGTGAATATTTAGCATAATTCCTTCAATGTTTAAGCTGCTGCCAAACAAAAGTTTATAAACAGCAATTCTGAATTACTAAGTTAGTTGTACCTTGATGAAAGCATATAGCAAGAATCTCAGTTTTTACTTTTCCTCTTGGTTTCCATTCTGTACAAACAGCTGGATTCAAATTTCAAATTCCAAGAGATTCGCTGTTAGGTACATCCAGTTTAAGTTCACCTGAATGTCCATGGTGTTGCACTCATCTTATAAGTCAGTTCACAATTTATCCTATCTTTACAATCTATACAACTTTTCAACAACTGCCTTGCTATAGGGTAGAGTGTATCCCCCCTGCCTCAAAGTTATAATGTGATTCAAGAAACTGAGGTATACATAATTATGACATCAGAAATGAAAAATGTCAAAATTTTTCGGGGGTAACAATGTGGATAATTGAAATGAACTTCCTAATATTTAAACTTAGGATGTTCTATCTTTGCTGCTTTGCATAATTCCAGGAAAGACCATTCACAGCTGCTTATGTGTACAGCGCATTCTGTAACTTTGTGGTGCACAGCCTAGGCAGTTATATACAGTGGCCCTACAGCTTACCTCCCATTTGATTCTCCATGATTACCTTAGAAATCTCTTCATATTTTCAAAATCCACCAACTTATTAAGTGGTGTGCACAACAGAAACTAAATTACAGATTCAGATAATTTGGTGTTTTGGTTAGTATACAATTCAGAATAAACAAGAACAGAAGACTGATGTTTTAGAAGTTTTAGACACTGGTCAAGGTAGTCAATTAGCAAAGAGGTTTGGAAAATATGAACAAAGCACACCTAACCTATTTAAGCCAAAAAGGGAGAATGCCCATGAAGATATTTCTCATGCCACCTCTACAATGGGGTCTATCTTCAAAGAGCACTTTGTTCACCCACCTTCTCCCTTTCCATAAAAAGACCAAGTATTGGGCAGTTACGTAAAAATCTATTTAGTGAGTGGAATTAAGTAAGCACTATATCAAGAGATCCATCATGATCCTGATTAATAGCTTAGAACAGGACATAAGAATGCATAAACAGTTGTATAGGTGTTAATATAGCTTTCTTTAAAATATTATATGTAAATCTGAAATACACCTAGAACCTGCCTTAGAACAACCCCAAAGTTTGCTTCTCTCATGCAGTCATCTGATGAGCTTCAACTAAATCCCCTCCCCCAGTAATTTTAACATAAGGAACTACCAAAGGAATTCAATAGACATTAAAACAGTAAGCATTTCTAACGATTGTTAAAAACTCATATTTAATATACTATATGGATGATGCTTTTATTTTAAGTTGAACACCTATAAAATCATTCTTGTTACTGAGTTTCTGTAAGTTTGGTTAGCTAGAGGTTTAATTAACCAATATGATTTATCTTGAAATATTCTTTGTATATCAGCAATATGCTGACGTATAGAAACAGAAACATTTCAGAAAACTAGGAGGAAAAAACAGTCACCCATAAAACTTTCAAAACCAAAACTTCCCCTTTAACGTAGCAATAAATAATGCTGTCACGATCTATTAAATGCCATGTACTTTACAGAATGTTCCTAATCGAAAGAGTCTCTTCAATAATGAGAATTCACCCAAGAACCATTCAGACCTCATCTTTCTTCCACTATGAAATCTCAAGACTGCCTTCGTAGTACATACACAGTACCAGACGTAGTAATATGGAGAAAGCAGATGTGTCAAACATGTAATAAATTACAGACTCATACCAATAAGAGCTGGAACAGCAGATTTTTCTGTACTTTTTAAACTTAGGGGCGTTAAGGGGGAAATTTTGCAAAAAACATTCCTTTCAATGCAAGTGACAACTAGCTAAACATGCAATGAATGGGGGGGACACATAAAACTACTGTTTTAGGAGGAATAGTTATTAGAAACCTTTAACGAAAGGTAGAACATGTTATTTCAGACACCATAAGCTCGAGTGCAGTGGGCTACATAATAAAGCAAGGTGCCTATTCCTGAGGAAAACGTACTTAGTAATAATGCTGAACAGTGAGTATTAAGTCTAAGTAGTGCTAGAAAGGCAATGATGGGAATTCAGGTAATGTGTTACAGAGAAAGAGACTTGTGAGAAATTCCATTACTTAAAAATAATCCTGTCCCTATCATTAAGTATTTTTTTTGGCTGTTGTGCTAAAGTGCACTGGAAACCTAAGAACAGGTTTTTAAATTGGCCATGTCTTGTTAATACACTGCAGTCTTCAAATTTACACAGAGCTGCAGGTCTCCTGGATTTTTTCAAGTGTCACTCATCTAACTGAGCCTGAGAGCTGAGAAATGCCATCAGGTGCTCTACAGTCAGTTTAAAAAACATCCTCTACCTGGTATCTCTGCAGTGATTGTCTTGCTGCTCCCTGAAACTTCTTCATCATCATCTGATGAGCTCGTGCTTGAGTCACAAGTCAGGTCACTATCACTGGTACTACTGTCCTGCAACAAGTTATATTTCTTTCGTGCAGCAGCCTCCCGTTTCTGCCTCAGTAGCCTGATTCTCTCCTTGTGCTTTTGGCTCCGATGACCTTTAACCTTGGCGACTCGGCCATTCTGTTTATCACTGGATTGCCGGTTTTTCTTGGCAGCCATGGTGGATGTTTCACTTTCAGATCGGGACCGGCGAGACTTGCGCCCAACTGTGGCACCAGACACTCCGGAAGGGTCTCCTTCTACCGCTGTTTCTGCCTGGGAGGGTTCATTCTCCTCTGCAGAAGACAGTGTATCTGAATCGGCCAGGTGACCACTAGAGGAAGGGGAAAGCATGCAGTGGTTAGAGGAGTCACTCTCATAAACTCGACCAGTTGTCAGCTTGTCACTCTCCGTGGATGCTAACTGAGACTCAGAAGAGTCCCTTCTCAGTTCCATCAACAAGCAGGGCATTGAAGAAAGAACTGTAGAATCCACCACACCATCTTTCGGAACTTGAGATTCCAGTTCTACAGATCCATCTTCCTCCTTAGCTGTCTCTTGTTCAGATGTTTTTGGTGGGACTTCAGACTCAATGAGTTCTTCAACTTTTCCCACTGCCTCCTCCATCTTCATTTCAGGTTTTCAAGTTAAATCATGGAGCAGAGTCTAGGAAACTATGTCAAAGATGCAACAGGAAAGCAACCTGTACAAAAACACACAAAAATCAATAAACAGAAATGGCAGATTATTTAATCAACACAACATTCCTACCTTTCTAAGTGGGCAGCAAAAGTTACCATCACATAGGCCTTTAAAATACATGTATCTATTATTTGCTTGAACAACAGTCAAATTCAGAGGACTTAATACGACCAAAATACTGGCATACACAGCTACTAAAAATGGCACAATATTAATCTTCTATTACTGAACTTGCAAGACCAGCAAGCAACCAAACAAGGATTTTCAACTTTAAAACTTTATTTAAACTGTTCAAGAAAAGGATCCTCAAAGCTTTGATATAGTTAGCAAGTATGTTAACTTTAAATGAAAAGGAATGCTCCAAAAAAACTGGTCTACAACAAGTGAACTGGAATGATTACTTTTACATTCAAATCCTCAAAGAAAGGAAGCAAGGGAGTGAGTTACAGTGGAGTGACATCAAATGCACACTTATGTTAAAGGGAAAAAAACCCCATCAATTACGTGCATTTGGCAAGTGGGCAACAAAAGTAATTACATGCATCAAAGCTGCCATTCCTCTCAACAGGAGTTGCTCTAGAGGGGCATTAAGATGAAAAACCTGAATCTGCTGTTTCCTCAGTTCTTCCTGGTTCCCACAAACCTCTCATCATGTTGAATATGAGGAGTCTAATGTTTAAACATATGTTTTGTTTCATAAATAGCCACTAAATACAGATTAACTACTTTGTGAACCCAGAAAACCTAAAACTCTCTATTCTATGAATGACTTAAGGGGTTTAAAAGAAAACCCCCTACACACATTCTCCACCTCCTATGCTAACTTTAGAACCTAATAACCTTCCCCCACTGTGTGTGCTACAACTCCACTTAATCAGAGAAACAGGACATAATCTTTAATCACAAGAGTTGTGACCTATACAGTGCAAACTTCATTAACTAGTGGTTTTTTAAGAGGATGCTAACAATGTGCAAAGCAAGTAAATACCTCACCCTGAACAACTGATGTTAAAGAAGGCAATTATCATCATGTGCCATAAGTCACAGAGAGACACAAACATTAAGATATCTCCGTCACTTCATTCCATCAAGTTACTTGATAGTTCACTATAATGGTAGACAGCAGCTAGAAGATATCTGAAAAATGGAGTTATTTATTGATCTAACATGACAAGCCTACTTTTTTGCTTACTATAAACATAAATGTTCTATATATCTGGGGTTTTTTTCAGGTCCTGTTCTCAGCTGCTGATAAAACAGGCATTCTGATGAAGTTTCCTTAACACATTCATGAAAACCAGAACATTCATGGCCACTGGAAACATTTATAAGTTAAAAACAATCTCATGGAGCTTCCCTGGTGGCTCAGTGGTTAAGAATCCACCTGCCAATGCAGGGGACACGGGTTTGAGCCCTGGTCCGGGAAGATCCCACATGCCGCGGAGCAACTAAGCCCATGTGCCACAACTACTGAGCCTGCGCTCTAGAGCATCAAAGATGCAACAGGAAAGCAACCTGTACAAAAACACACAAAAATCAATAAACAGAAATGGCAGATTATTTAATCAACACAACATTCCTACCTTTCTAAGTGGGCAGCAAAAGTTACCATCACATAGGCCTTTAAAATACATGTATCTATTATTTGCTTGAACAACAGTCAAATTCAGAGGACTTAATACGACCAAAATACTGGCATACACAGCTACTAAAAATGGCACAATATTAATCTTCTATTACTGAACTTGCAAGACCAGCAAGCAACCAAACAAGGATTTTCAACTTTAAAACTTTATTTAAACTGTTCAAGAAAAGGATCCTCAAAGCTTTGATATAGTTAGCAAGTATGTTAACTTTAAATGAAAAGGAATGCTCCAAAAAAACTGGTCTACAACAAGTGAACTGGAATGATTACTTTTACATTCAAATCCTCAAAGAAAGGAAGCAAGGGAGTGAGTTACAGTGGAGTGACATCAAATGCACACTTATGTTAAAGGGAAAAAAACCCCATCAATTACGTGCATTTGGCAAGTGGGCAACAAAAGTAATTACATGCATCAAAGCTGCCATTCCTCTCAACAGGAGTTGCTCTAGAGGGGCATTAAGATGAAAAACCTGAATCTGCTGTTTCCTCAGTTCTTCCTGGTTCCCACAAACCTCTCATCATGTTGAATATGAGGAGTCTAATGTTTAAACATATGTTTTGTTTCATAAATAGCCACTAAATACAGATTAACTACTTTGTGAACCCAGAAAACCTAAAACTCTCTATTCTATGAATGACTTAAGGGGTTTAAAAGAAAACCCCCTACACACATTCTCCACCTCCTATGCTAACTTTAGAACCTAATAACCTTCCCCCACTGTGTGTGCTACAACTCCACTTAATCAGAGAAACAGGACATAATCTTTAATCACAAGAGTTGTGACCTATACAGTGCAAACTTCATTAACTAGTGGTTTTTTAAGAGGATGCTAACAATGTGCAAAGCAAGTAAATACCTCACCCTGAACAACTGATGTTAAAGAAGGCAATTATCATCATGTGCCATAAGTCACAGAGAGACACAAACATTAAGATATCTCCGTCACTTCATTCCATCAAGTTACTTGATAGTTCACTATAATGGTAGACAGCAGCTAGAAGATATCTGAAAAATGGAGTTATTTATTGATCTAACATGACAAGCCTACTTTTTTGCTTACTATAAACATAAATGTTCTATATATCTGGGGTTTTTTTCAGGTCCTGTTCTCAGCTGCTGATAAAACAGGCATTCTGATGAAGTTTCCTTAACACATTCATGAAAACCAGAACATTCATGGCCACTGGAAACATTTATAAGTTAAAAACAATCTCATGGAGCTTCCCTGGTGGCTCAGTGGTTAAGAATCCACCTGCCAATGCAGGGGACACGGGTTTGAGCCCTGGTCCGGGAAGATCCCACATGCCGCGGAGCAACTAAGCCCATGTGCCACAACTACTGAGCCTGCGCTCTAGAGCACGCGAGCCACAACTACTGAAGCCCGTGCACCTAGAGCCCGTGCTCCGCAACAAGAGAAGCCACTGCAGTGAGAAGCCTGCGCACCACAACGAAGAGTAGCCCCCAATCGCCGCAACTAGAAAGCCAGCGCGCAGCAACAAAGACCCAGGCAGCAATAAATAAACAAACAAACAAATTAATTAATTAATTAAGGGAGGAAAAAACCCCAATCCCACGTGTAGTCTATTTCATAAGTGTATTTGTACCATTACTAATTTTTGAGCTGAATGAAAATACGCATAAACGTCATTCCAAACACCATTTCAAAAGGAATGTAACACCACTGAAAGCCAACAGACGGAGTAAAAGTTAAACCAACAAACTGCCAGTGTCTTAAATAAAGCATGTTGACAAAAAAAAAAAAAAAAACAGGAAATAAAATATTCATAGATATGCAATACCCCCAGGTATGAGGAATAAAACAGATTTTCTAACTGAATAAACATAAGAGTTGATTCTTTTGTAGAGAATGAAGTTATATTCTGGAATAAAATTTTTCTTAAAGCTGAAATATCTGAGAAATGTACTCAAATGAAAAATTTGTTAAAATGATCCTTCAAACTCTTGTTTCTTCAACTAAATAAATTATGTGGGTAGCACAAACGAATCTAGTCTGTTTTTCCTTTAAGAAAACATGACAATTATCAATGTCTTTCAATATGACACATCAATCGATTATCTTTCAACTTCCTTACATTTAAGTATTGAGATTTACAGTGACTTCTGCTGCCTAAAAAAGAAACCACTATTGCAGCCAAAACCAATTAAATATGCCCATATCAATCACAAACACTGGCATCAACCATAAATAGGACATCAGTTAGCTCATCATGGTATGCCCATACTATGTGGCAAAAAAGAATGAAAAAGTTCTCCATATACTAATATGGAGCAATTTCCAACACATAATGTTAAATGAACAAAAAAGATACATTATACCATTTGTGTAAATAAAGAACAAAATTATATATGAGTTTGTCTATAGATGCACAGAAATGTCTAGGAGGATACTTAAGAAAATGGTAACACCAGCTGGCAAGGAAAGAGAGTGAATGAAGGAACAGGAGTCAAAGACTTTTTACTGTATATAGTTTTGTACGTCTTGAATTCTGTATCCCGTATAAGTTATTACCTATTCAAAACTCCATTCTAACATAAAATCTACTGAAAAGTCTTCTGAAGAAAAAAGGAGTTGTATTTTTTTCTGCTCAGGACACCAACTACTATTTGCGTCAAATTTAGTCAGTGAATTCTATTAGAATTTCCCCCCATAGTGGAATTTTGTTGTAATTCATAAAACACAAGAAAAAAAAAAAGTCACAGGAAACAGAAATACAAGCTCTGACAAAACTCCCTGCAACGGAATAAAAATGAAGTGCAGATTAATCTTCCCAATCAGATTATTTACTGCATATATTGTTTTTGATCAGGGGGAAAAGTGGGATGTTCCTGGTAGAGGTAGTCAAATGTAGTTGGCAGTAGAAATGATAAAACTATCAAATGGGAGTTGCATCCTTGAGATAAAAGTCTCTCAACCCTCTGGTTTAATGTTCACAGTGAATTTACATTCAAGTATGAAATATACAAGATAGCATTTATCCTATTAGAACAGCATTTCCTCCCATGCTGTTCTTCCCGCCAATCTAAAGGCAATCCCCTTCTCTGTATATGTATATATGTGTACATGTATAAGTTAGTACAACTCATCCCCTCATCTCCCTAGAACCTTACATTATTGATTATTCCTTGGCACTCATCAACCTCTCACATTCATCTAGACCAACCATTCATTCATTCACTCACTCATTCATTAAAAACTTTTTAAAATCCTCCTTCTATCTACTACTTCAACCTCAGATCTCCTCCTCCGGGTACTATTCTCTTCTTTCACAGCCAACTTTATTAAGAGAGTTGTCTAACCTCCCTTCCTCTATTTTCT